TATATATATATACACACGAGACTGCATTGGCGCTTCGCGCCATGCGCCTTGTCCTGGAGGCTCCCCTGGCAAAGACAGATCATCGCTTGCGGGGACTGAAGAGGCGGAAAGGGAGAGGAGAGGAGGAGAATCGGGGAGAAGGTCCAGAGGAAGGAGCAAGCAAATGAGGATGACCACCGGACGCCACGAACGTGGAGGTCGACGAAAAGTCACAGGGGGAAGGGGGAAAAAGAGAGAGAGAGAGAGAGAGATAACGAGCGCACAGATGACGCCGTCTGAGCGTTTTGGGGTTTTGGGGGGGCCGTTTTGGGGCCCTCCTGGGCCGTGCTGGAGCCTTTTTGGGTCGTCTTGGGGAGCTGGGGCCCTCCAGAGGTCTTCTGAAGCCATCTAGGGCCCTCTTGGGGGCCTCCAGTGGCCTTCTTGGGGGTCTCCCATGGCTTTCGTGCGTCTCTCTTGGGAGCCTTCTGGCGGCATCCGTGGCTTCTCGTGGGCAGTCTCGGGGCTCCCTGGGCCAGACATGGGGCCCTCTTGGGCGGCCTTCAACCCGTCTGGGGGGCCTCTTTTGGCCGCCTTGGGGCGACATCGGGGCCCATCGGGCCGTGTTGGACTCTGCGAAGATCCGAAAAGCGGAGATGCTAAATATATTGTTTTCCAAAGGAAATGGGACGACGTTTGCTTCGTCGGGGCTCTCTTAGCGGCCTCTTGGGGCGTCTCGGGGGCCTCTTGGGCAGTCTTCAGACCATCGGGGTTCCTCTTGGCGCGCTCTTGTGTTGTCTTGGGTCTCTCCTGCGCCTCTCCGATGACCCTTCTGATCGCTTTGAGTCTGCTCGCAAGGCCCGGCAAGGCGCCTTGGGAGGCTTGGAACGCCCAGCGGACCTTTTCCAGGGGCGTCCAGGGGGCCGCCGAGACGTCCGAAAGAGCGTCCAGGGCGTCCCTGACTGTGTATTTCCCACCGAACCCTAATCTACCCCCCAGAAAGCCCAGCACCTCCACGATCCAAGGGCGGCCCTTGCCTGGGGAACCCCTCACTGGATATTTCAGGGTTCGTGGATTAGCGCAAGGTCTGCTAACAACGACTGCGCAGTCGGCTGGAACCTACGCGCCCGCGTGGCGTGCGCGTTGTTCACACACACGCACACACACACACGCACGCACGCACGCACGCACGCACACACACACACACACACACATATATATATATATATATATATATGTACCTATATATGTACATACATACATACATACATACATACATACATACATACATGCATGCATGCATGCATGCATGCAGACAGACAGACAGACAGACAGACAGACAGACAGACAGACAGACAGACAGACAGACAGACAGACAGACAGACAGACAGACAGACAGACAGACATACATACATACATCTATATATATATATATATACACACGAGACTGCATTGGCGCTTCGCGCCATGCGCCTTGTCCTGGAGGCTCCCCTGGCAAAGACAGATCATCGCTTGCGGGGACTGAAGAGGCGGAAAGGGAGAGGAGAGGAGGAGAATCGGGGAGAAGGTCCAGAGGAAGGAGCAAGCAAATGAGGATGACCACCGGACGCCACGAACGTGGAGGTCGACGAAAAGTCACAGGGGAAGGGGGAAAAAGAGAGAGAGAGAGATAACGAGCGCACAGATGACGCCGTCTGAGCGTTTTGGGGTTTTGGGGGGGCCGTTTTGGGGCCCTCCTGGGCCGTGCTGGAGCCTTTTTGGGTCGTCTTGGGGAGCTGGGGCCCTCCAGAGGTCTTCTGAAGCCATCTAGGGCCCTCTTGGGGGCCTCCAGTGGCCTTCATGGGGGTCTCCCATGGCTTTCGTGCGTCTCTCTTGGGAGCCTTCTGGCGGCATCTGTGGCTTCTTGTGGGCAGTCTCGGGGCTCTCTGGGGCAGTCATGGGGCCCTTTTGGGCCGTCTTCACACCCTCTGGTGGGCCTCTTGGGCCGTCTTGGGGCGATATCGGGGGCCCATCGGGCCGTCTTGGACGCTGCGAAGATCCGAAAAACGGATATGCTAAACATATACATTTTCCCAAGGGAATTGGACGATGTTTGCTTCTTCGGAGCTCTCTTAACGGCCTCTTGGGGCGACTTGGGGGCTTCGTTGGCCATCTTCGGACCATCGAGGTTCCTCTTGGAACGCTCTTGTGCTGCCTTGGGTCTCTCTTGCGCCTCTCCGATGACCCCTCTGATCGCTTTGAATATGCTCGCAAGGCCCGGCAAGGCGCCCTGGGAGGCTTGGAAGGCCCAGCGGACCTTTTCCAAGGGTGTCCCGGGGGCCGCCGAGACGTCCTGGGCGTCGTGGAAGTCCAGAGCACGAATGTAGTGGAAATGCGATTTTTCCCAACGGATTTTGATGATTTTAGTGTCATGGGGCCGCGTTGGGGGACCCCTGGGAGCGTTCTTGAGCCGTCTTGGGGGCCTCCAGGGCCGTCCTGAGACGAGCTTCAGTCGTCTGGGGTGTTCCGCAGGGCCTTCTGGAACGCGATCCTGGGCGCGCTCGGGCGGCTTGGGATGGCCGGGAGGGCCCCCCGGAACCGAACAACGGAATATCTGCCCGATGGGACCGCCCAGGGCCGAATTTATGTACGGGGAAGGGGGGGTCACCTGGGGTTTTCCGCTATAAGAATATTCGAAGAGGAATATATATATATATATATATATATATACATATATATACACATATATATATATAGATGTATATACACGTGTGTCTATGTACACACCTATATACATCATACAGCACCCCCGCCCCCATGTCGCCACACCCCTCACACGCATCGTGCCCCATCCGGGAGAGCTCCACAAACGACCCCCACTGGGGGCGGTGATCGTCCCCGCCCCCATGCAAGGCACACCCCTCACACTCATCGTGTCCCATCGGGGGTTCCACCGCCGGCCTCAGCGGGGGCGAGGAAAGAGCGTCCCCGCCCCCACGTCGACCCCCGCACTGCCCAAAACACACACACACCCACACACACACACACACCCCCACACACACACAACAAGCACACACAATACACAAAACACAACACACAGACACGCACACAAAACACAACACACAACACAAAATACAACACACAACACACACACAAAACACACACACACACAGCACACACACACAACACACACGCACACACGCACACACACAGACACCAACACGAATCGCGCACTCATAGGCACCCCACCTACGGCCCCAGCGGGGACCTTGATGTAGTATCTCGGCCCCCATTTCGGCACTCGCATCGCGCCCCATTGGAAGCCCCACCTACAGCCCTGGCCGCGGTGTTGATGAACCGTCTCCGCCCAGACTTCGGCACACACACACGCACACACACACACACACACACCTCACACGGATCGTGCCCCATAGGGAGCTCCGCCACCGACCCCGGCGCTGGCGCTCCCATAGGTGAGGATGCATCTTCGGGGGGCCTCGCGTGTTCCCAAAATTGGTGTCTCCTCTTGCGACCGATGCGGGCTCAGTGCGGATCCGACGCGAGCTTTGGCGTGTGGGCCCGACGCGGATTCGACAATGGACTCGACGCGAATCCGACGAGTGCAGCATGGATTCGACACGGACTCGGCGCGGATCGGGGCGCGACGGGGCAGGCAAAGCCCCCTCTCAAGATGCCACATGTCTTAAGTCGGGCCTGTTGGGGACTATTTTTTTTAAGATTTTTGTTTACCTTTTTGGTATATGTTTGGGTTTTTTTATTTTTCGTGGAAAATCCCCCTGTAGGGGGACACGCCCGACATGACACATGTTCTGGGGTGCAGCGCTCGCACCGGCGCCTCCCTCGCCCGGTTTCGCGCCCCAGCGTGCCTTCGGCGAGTCCTGCGCGCGCCCACTCCGGGGGCGCGCGCAGGACACCGAGGGGGCGGCCACGCCCCGCGCTACACCACTGGGGGAACAGAAAGTGGCATAAACATAAAAACTCGGAGGTCCGCGCGGATTTCTCGGATCGGCGCTGGTTCCCCTCGCGAGGCAAATGTCGTATCAGCGGTTTGCGTATCGCACACCACGGAGGAGCAGATCACGGCCTCTCCTTCGGTAGAAGAGGCTTCGTGCAGATATGGACACGAATGTGGTTGAGATCTGTACTTGGAGGGCTGACTTGTCGTGCTTAGCAGTTCGGTGTCGTGTCCGTGACGCGAATGTGCCGTTTTAGAATGTATGTGCGGCTGTGGCTTTGACCGCTTTTGGCCACCACGCTGCCCACTCTCCCTCCTCGCCGTCGTCCCTTGTCCTCTGCGTTCAGGCCGTGCCTCCTTCGTTTAGTGGCCAGGCGTGTTATTTCGCAATGCCAGCTGTTGTGTGAGGCTTGTCGAAGGGTGCGGAGCTTGCGTTATGTATGAAGACAAATGAAACTAGGTGCGGCCGTGGCTTTCGACTGTGACTCTCGCGCGACCGTCTGTCTGGCATGCGAGACGGGACCTCCTCAGGGCTTCTCCAGGACTCTCGAGCCTGGCCCGCCTGGGCGTGTTGGAAGCGCTACTCCAGGGGAGTCTCTCTCGGCGGGGCTGCCGCGGCATGTGGGGTGGGCGGGCTGGGATGGACCAGCAGAGTTAGTTGAACTGCGGGATCCAGAGCGTCTGGTCACCGTCTGGGTCGGCCGAGTCCCTGTGATGACCATCGGGTGAGAAGACAACTTCGTAATCATAACCTCCCAGCGCTCCGCGCGGCTTCCTTGGATCGGCGCTGGGCCCCCCCCCCGGCGGCGAGTCCGGCACCGCCCCGTGCGCGCTCCGCGCGCCAGGGAAGGCGGTAGAACGCAGGTCCAAGACATCCGCGCGGACCGTCGACGGTTTGTGTTGATGCAGTCGTTTCTTCCTCCACACCAGGAGGCCCGAGTGCCGACCTGACTCGTCTATGGCCCCGAGTCGGCAGCTCCACGGCTGGGTGGCCAGCTCAGTGCTCGGGAAGCCCCAGGGTTTCTCAAACGGAAACGTGCACGACCGTTTTGCAGTTTTCGAGGCGTGCATGATCCCCTTCTCCGTCGGATGGGGTCGCGTGAATGCCAGGGTACCCAAGACGCACCAGCCGCGACACACCGCGGTGGCGGACTTCCACCGCGACATGAAGCCAGAAAACATCCTTGTGCGCGGGGACACGGTGAAGCTCGCGGATTTCGGCCTCGCCAAGGAGATCCGTGCCCGCCCGCCGCACACAGATTACGTGTCGACCAGGTGGTACCGGGCCCCAGAGGCCCTGCTTAGGAGCCCCTCGTACAACTCGCCCATGGACGTTTGGGCCTGCGGCGGCATCATGGCGGAGCTCTACACCTTCAGGCCCCTGATGCCGGGCACCTCCGAGCCCGACCAGCTCTTCAAGATCTGCTCGGTGATCGGGACGCCCTCGCCGCAGGTGTGGCAGGAGGGCTACAAGCTCGCCTCCAAGATAGGGTTCAAGTTCCCGCAGATGACCCCGACCAGCCTGGGCACGATCATCCCCGGGGCCAGCAAGGATCCACCGCCAGAATATGTCCACATCCACCGCTTCGGAGTCGTGCCCTGGAATCTCGAGGAGCCGTGGATATGGATATCTGCCCGCCCGCGTGAGCGGGCAGATATCCATATCCGCCGCTCCCCGAGTCCTCGCAACACGACCCAGCAGCAGTGGATATGGTCAAATTCTGGCGGCGAAAAAGGAGGCGGTCGACGTCATGCACGGCATGCTGAAGTGGGCCCCGGAGGCGCGGCTCTCCGTGGCCCGGGCGCTGCAGCTGCCCTACTTCGAGGCCGACCTCAAGGCTACGGGCGCCCTCGAGGGCGCGAAGGTATTCGCGCTTCGCGCTTCGCGGTTCGGCTCCGATTCCTCCTCGTCTTCCTCTTCTCCCCTGGGAGGCGGCGCGAGAGGGCGAAGTTATTCGCACTTCGCGCTTCGCGCAGCGCGAAGCGCGAAGTTGGGAGCCCTTATCAAGGCGGCCGCCGCGGCCGAGGCGGCGCAGGCGCCCGCCGCGGCGCGGCAGCAGCCCCCGCCGAGCGGCGTGGCGGGCAGCGGCGAGAAGGGCCTGCCGCCGGTGGCCCCGCCGCAGCGCGCGCCCAAGGACCGTAAGAAGGCTGCCTCGAGGCGCCCGTCTCCAAAAGCGCAGCGCGTGCCGTGCTGGAGAAGCGTATCCGTGCCAACACGCTGCGTGCCGGCTCAGCTCGGCGTGTTGGTCTATAGGCCTCCCAGATTGGGGTCGGCGTCGATGGGGTCGGAGGATCGCGCCGCACCGCCGATGCATCGGCGATGCGGCCCGATGTGGAGCCCGATCAGCTTCACGTAGACGTCGCCGATGCACCGCCGACGTCGCCGATGCATCCTCGGTGTATCACCGATGCATCGGCGATGCATCGCCGATGTATCGGCGATGCGGCGAGATCCTGCGACCCCGTCTTTTCTGACCCCATCTTGGAGGCCTCACGTTGCCCCGCGTTTTGGCGAGCGCATCGCGTCATAGTTACCCCTACGTTTCCAGTCTGCGTGTTGAGCTCCGCATACCAGTGTATGTACGCTAATGCGTGCTGCGCGTGGCGTGTCGCGGCAGCGGAGCCGAGGACATGGAGCCGATGTTCCCAGGCATCTCCGCCATCCTCGGCAGCAGCCAGAAGCTGGGCAAGGACGGCAGCAGCCAGCCCGGCACGCGCGGCGGAGGGCCCGGCGGCCAGGCGCCGGGCAGGCACCAGCCGGGCTCCGGCGGGGCCCGCGGCGAGCTGCCCCCGCTGGGTGGGGCCGCGAAGTACCAGCCTCTGCCGCCGCCCTCGGTGCACCAGGTTCGGATGCAACTGCTGGGAGGTCACATCCCCCAGACCTCCTCGCGTGGAGAGGATAAGTCCCGACGGGAGGTGTTTCACCATTTTCTGCCTCCGGGGGGCCCTCCCCGGGCCTGGGGACTGTCAGCAAAACGACTCTGGATGAAAAACGGATCCCCTGGGGGCCTCAGACCTCTGGGGGCCGACGTTGCAGGAAAAAACACGACGTCGGGCGCCCGGGAATTCTGATTGTGCACTGGTCCAAAATCGGGCTTAATCCGGCTCAGTCCCGCTCAATCCGGCTTAATCCCGCTCAGTCTGGTTGGGCCCCGCTCATTCCGCGGCCTAATCCGTCGCAGCAGCCCTCCCATGGGGCTCAACCCTCCTTGATGAGTCTTCCGACGAAGAGACCTCTCTGCAGTTGCCTCCCCGACCAGGGCGGCCACGGGGGCCTGCCGGGGCCGTCCGCGATGCACCACCAGCAGCCGATGGCCAGGGCCGGCGGCCAGCGCAGCGGCGGAGGCAACTCCGGCGGCACGTCCCGGTACCTCCGCATGGCGCGGTACCAGCCGGGCGTCGAGGGCATCCCGACGCCCCAGGCTGCAGGGCCAGCCGGCGGCGTCAGGGCGGGCGGCGGTCTGGGCCTCCTGCCGGACATCAAGGGCGGCGGCCCCCGGGCGAACCCGCACAGGAGCAATTTCGCCGCGAACGCCGCGAGGATGTTCGGCTGAGGCCACCTTTGTCGCGGCCCCAGCGGCCATGAAAATTCGCGGGGGCCAGCCAGGCGACGCGACTTCGGGAGCGGTTCCTGGCATTCGCGGCCCGCGCTTGCCCTTTATGCCAGGATCGGTGTCATGGCCGTACCTGCTTGCCTTCGTGAGTCCCGCTCGCGTGTACCTGCGAATCAATCATAAGCGCTGTGGTACTCCTTGTTCGCTGCAAGCCTGCTCGTGAATGCCATAGCGACCGGCGGTCTGTGCCGATGGCTGCTCCTACCCATGAGGACGCATTTTTATGTTGCTGGTGCACGTCCTCCTCCTCCTCCTTCTCCTCCGACTTCCTAAAGAGACCAGATTTTTTTGGGGGGATCTCTCGGTCGAGTGCACGCTCCCCTCGGAAAAGGTTTGGGTCCTCTCGAGGAGCGCTCCGCGCGAGCAGTCTTTCGTCGAAGGCAGTGCTGGAGATGCCCGACTGGTGGGCTCCCCGTTCGGGTGTCGGTGTCGCGCCCGAGCCACGGCGGGGAGAGGCGGCAGAGTGGCGTGCTGTGAGGGGAGCCAGCACGTCGTCGTTTGACTTGCTTGCGCCCTGTGGCGCAGAGTCCCTGGGCGAGCCGCCCCCCCCCCCCCCAATTGTCCCTTTTCACAGGGGCCTCGTTTTGGCCAGAGGCGTTTCCCTGCGTTTTTTTTTGGGTGTGTACACATATTCCTCCTCATACATTTGTAATACCCGGAACCCCGCCCCCCACCCCCACCCCTAAACCAGACCCCCCCCCCAAGGATGCCACGGACACCCTTTCGCACGTCTCGGCGGCCCCCGGGACGCCCTTGGAAAAGGTCCGCTGGCTCTTCCAGGCCTCCCAGGGCGCCTTACAGGGCCTTGCGAGCATATATTCGTAGCGATCAGAGGGGTCATCGGAGAGGCGCAAGAGAGACCCAAGACAGCACAAGAGCGCTCCAAGAGGAACCTCGGTGGTCCAAAGACGGCTCACGAGGCCCCCAAGACGCCCCAAGAGGCCGTTAAGAGAGTCCCGAGCAAATATCGCCCCATTCCTTTGGGGAAATGTAGATCTTCAGCGTATCCGTTGTTTTGGTCTTCGCAGCGTCCAAGACGGCCCGATGGGCCCCCGATATCGCCCCAAGACGGCCCAAGAGGCCCCCCAGATGGTTTGAAGACGGCCCGAGAGGGCCCCAATATTGTCTTGAGACTGCCCACAAGAAGCCCAAGGTGCCCCCAGAAAGCTCCAAGAGAGACGCACGAAAGCCATGGAAGGACACTGGAGCGCCCTAAATGGTTTCAGAAGACCTCTGGAGGGCCCCAGCTCCTCAAGACGGCCCAAGAAGGCCCCAGGACGGCCCAGGAAGGCCCAAGGACAGCCCAAAAGAGTTCCAAAAACGCCCAGACGGCGTTATCTGTGCGCTTGTTGTCTTTCTCTCTCTCTCTCTCTCTCTTTATCTCCTTCTCTCTCTCTCTATTTCTCCCTCTCTCTCTCTTTTTCTCTCTCTCTCTCTCTCTTTCTCTCTCTCTCCTCTTTCCCCCCCGTGAGTTTTCGTCGACCTCCACGTTCGTGGCATCCGATGGCCATCCTCATTCGCCCGCTGCTTCCTCTGGACCGTCTCCCCGTTTCTACCCCCCTCCTCCCCCCTCCTCCCTGCTGCTCCCTCCTCCCTGCTCCCGTTCATGGACAGGCGCCATCGTAACAGTTTGATGCCTCGTCGTTTGCCAGCACCCTCGCGCGCGCGAGAAAAAACAGCATTCCTTCCCCATTCCTGCACACATGCGCGCAAGCGCATCGGGCGAGATCGGTGTCAGCAAGCACCGAGGATATCAGAAAAATGAGCCGGTCGCCCGTCCAAACCTCGAGGCCCCCCTGCTGAAGCAAGCGATGACGATCGTCATCCGAATTTACTTGATCGTGTCTCCGGGGGGGGGTGGGCGGGGATGTCGTGTAAGATAGGCGTACCGTGATATAACGCATGGCGCATTGTGCTATATTTTTCGCGTCCGCACGAGCTGTTCTGGTTCGAAGGTTCCACCCTGGGCCAGGGCTTCCGCGCCATCCGCCCAACCAGCGTGGGCGCTCGCGGCGCGGGCTGATTTGTCGGCGTCACGGCGAGGTGCTGGTGGTTCGCCGCTGCTGCCCTCCTGTCCTGCATCGAGGACTTTGGCGTCCTCGACGTCTTCCTGGGAAGGCCGCTGGCTGCGCCTGAGGACGACGCGACCCTCCGATATACACGAGAGTCGGAACGGCTGAGTTTCTAGGACTACTTGCGGGTACACGTGAGCAGCGTGACCCGATGGAGCCGCTTCTATAAGACTGCGGGCCCCCAGCGTGGACAGGCGGCGCTCATGGCCATGCGGATGTACCCCAAGAAGAAGAAGACCGACACGAACTGGATCTATGTGAAGCCCGTCCGCACCCTGAGCGTCGGCGACATCAAGGATGGCACGATGCTTTCGAGCCGACGTCTGCCAGGGTGGGACATGGAGGCCTTCCCCGCGTTGGCTGGGGCCGAGAAGACCGAAATTCGGGAGAAGGCCAAGGGGGAGCAGCTCGAGTCTGAGCTCTTCATGACAAGCCTTCGTGGGTGGATCTCCTACTTGTCCTGGGTGCGATCTGGTGTGGTCGGCATCTGGGGAGCCCGGGCGTGGGGGTCGACCCGCGGGCTCCTGCTCCTCGGCTTGCGTGCGGCGGTCTACTTCAAAGCATGGCATTGGGTCCGATGGACCTGTCGAGAAGCTCGGGGATGCCCTCGACCTGCTGTTGAAGGTCGACAACCTACGGGCCTATCTGCACGACCTCTACGAGGGCGGCGAGCTCGAGCTCCCTATCGTGATGCTGACGGTCGCTGTCGCACTGCGCCCGGACCTGCATCGATGCTGTCAGCGGCGGCCGAAGGCTTTTCTGGCCGGAGCGAGCCCACCCGCGAGCGACGTCGACAGCGATGGGGAGGCGGGGCGCTCAGTGGCCTCATCAGAGGACTCACAGCCGCCAAAGGATATGCAGGAGATGGAGGCGATGATGATGAGCCTCCTCGACGAGTTCACACGCTCGATGACGGAGGAGCCCCCTCGTGCCCGCTCGAGTCAGAGCCGGTCGTCGGCGGCTCCCACTGGGGGCAGCAGCAGCGCCAGCTGGGGGGGGGGGCAGCGCTCCGAGCGAGCCGACCATGGACATGCACGTGAACAGCATGATCGATCGGGCGAAGAAGTTCGAGGACACGATCACCGCAGATCGAGCCCCGTCGAGCCGCCGCCCACTCAAGGATGCATCGTCTACCGCCGCGACCGCAGGATCCTCGACGTGCCCCGCCATCGATTTGGGGGACCCAGGGAGTCCCGATGGGGGCAGGTGTCAACCTCGAGCCCATGAGGGCTCCCCTTCGGGACCCGCGTGGGCGGCTCCTCGAGGGCTTCTCGAAGATAAACGCCCGGCCGATATTCGCCCCCCCCTGCGGGTCTGACCTCGAGGGTGGCCCCCGAGCCCCTCGTCCAGACCTGCGGGAAGCACGGCAGCACGGCGAAGTTCGCGACGGAGTGCGTATGTTTGAAGGAGCTGAACCGCAACCGCATCGGGCACGAGATGATGCTGCACTGCGTGACTCTGGATCGGATGCCGGAGGCCTCTCCCGAGTTCATCCGCGCCGCGGGCTGCGAGGTCCTCTGCGCCAGGGCGTGCGCCCTCATGAGGGCCTTCAAGGACGTGGCCAGCATCGGCGACTGGAGGCAGCCCCGAGGCGCCGCCGCCAACAAGTGGAAGTCCAAGGTGCGGTGGGATCTCGCGAACGAGCTGGACTGGGGATCGCCCGCCGAGGGCGAGGATGCGTCTCCTGGCGTGGAGCGCGACCTGGCGGCGAGGCTGCATCATAATACCCTCTTCCAGCAGTACCTGCAGAAGGGGGGCTCCGACGCGACCGAGGAGGAGGACGAGTAGACGGGGGTGCGGCTGTGCCCCTCGCCCGCGCCCAGCAGGCCCTTCTACCACCTCCGGAAGAGCTGGCGGTTCACAGCTCCGCTCGCTTCGACGGCGGCCACCTAGGTGGGCTTACTTTCCTGACGGCGTGCGTGGTGACCCTGCTGGTCATGGCGCTCTTTTCGCGTGGCCCTTCTGCCCTTGGGAAGCGACGCCATGCCACTTCTTTCCACCCGCGCACTTCTTCCTCGCCTACGTCGAACGCGGCCTCCGTGCCGCCTCCAGAAGCCGCGCCACGTGATCGAGATCTTCTGCCGGGCGCGCCGCTGCTGCCGTGGGCGGCCGTGGCGCACCGCGCGGGGCCGATGCACCATGGCACCCTTCGACTGGTGCGAGCTCTCGCCAACGGGCTGATTCGATCCACGCATCACCTCTCACGAGGCGGAGTCGGAGGGGCAGATACGCGTGGGCCGTCGGCCTCGTGGGAGCGGGCTACGCCGTTCCAGAAGGCTACGTCGCTGCGGCCGTTGGAAGCGCGGCTGGCCCGGGGCAGCCAGGCGGCCGCGATCGAGGAGGACGGGGGCGCTGCTATCCAGCGCGCCCTGGCCGGTCGGGCCTCGCCGTGCTCTGGCGATGGGGCATCATCAGCCTTGGGGAAAGATTCGAAGGGCGCGATGTGCGCGACGTGCGCAGTCGGCGCGGATGTCGAAGGGCGCGGCGCGCGCAGTCGGCGCAGTCGGCGCGGGGAAGATGCTGCCCCAGGGCGCGATGCGCGCAGTCGGCGCGGAGGAGCTGGCGCTGCCCCCGCCCGGGGCGACGCCTGCCAAGCTGGTGGACATCTGCCCGCTGGCGGCCGAGTGCTGCGCCGACGTCTCGGGGGGGATGCTGCGGGCGCCGAGCGAGGCCATGGGCGCGGACCTCATCAGCCAGAAGGTCTACCGCGACCCGTCCTTCCGCTCGCGAGCCGTCAGGCTCCGCCTGGCCGATAGGCTTTGGGGCGCGGGGATGCTCGGGACCACCGATCGGTTCGTCGAGAGCGTTTCCCTCTTCGGGGTCGCGAAGAAATACCTCCCGCAGGAGGCCGACCCCCAGGGCCCCCCGCGACGGCAGATCCGTGCCATCTGGGGCGGGAGACGCGCCAACCTCCGCTGGCAGAGGCAGCCCTACGTGCCGCTCGGCAGCCCTGCGCCCTTCACCCACCTGGACCTGTCCAACCTGGGGCCGACCGACGTGGTCTACACAGGCGTGGGCGACATCCCTGACATGTTCTACCGTTTGGAGACGCCGCCCGAAGTCTGGCCCTACTTCGTCCTGGAAGAGGTGGGTGTCGACGAGTTCGTGGACTTCATGGCGGCCCAGGGGCGGGAATGCGCCGTGCCCATGACTGCGAGACACCTGGCGATCAAGGTCTTGG